ATCATTTGTGAAGCGTGATACTTTTAAAAGTGTAATTCAGAATGTTATCAGAATGTTCACTTTCGAAGCATGATGTATAATTACAAGGTACACATATTTAGTTAACAAAAAATAACTAGCTAGAGATACATCTAAACCTCTTAACACACAGGTATTTACAGTTCCATAGTATTCCCAAGTCTTCATCAACATAGAGAAGAATATGCTTCTTTTCAATGACACCCTGGGAATGAATGTTAGCGAAACGACTTCATTGTCAGCGCGTGATCAGTTTGGCCTTCCYCTTTCTCATGGAGCGACAATTGTAGCTATTAATTTTCTTCTTTCCATTACTGGGACATTTGGGAACTTCCTGATAATTTTGGCTGTGTTCAAAACACCTCAGCTTCGTCAAAGACCATCCAACCGTCTTCTCTTGAGCTTGGCAGTAGCAGATTTAGTAGTGACCATGGTAGTACAACCGTTRTTCGCTACAGCAACAGCTCTGAAAACGTTTAAATACAAGTGCAATTCATCTCTGGAATCTGTCCATCGCGTAGCATCTCCATTTTCTTGTAGTAGTTCGGCTTTTCATCTTGCAGCCATCAGCATTGACCGATTGATTTCAGTGGTTAAACCTCATCGTCACCGCGAAATCATGAAGAAATGGTCCAAGRTAATGTTGGCCATTTGTTGGGGAATAGCTATCATACTTGGCAGTTTACTCGACATATTCCCAGTAGCGAACTTTGTAGGTGTWGTCCTCATCATCCTATGTGAAGTTGTAATGATTTCCTCCTACGGGATGATTCTTTACAAGATCAAACGCTCCCATAAAATGGTAGTGACCGCATCTTCGTCCACAGCAAGTGAAAGAGCCATTGAGAATCGATTGTCTGGGACGATTGCAATCGTCATCTTGTTGTTTGCAGCTTGCTGGTTTCCTCTTGTTGGGTACAGCTTCTCCCATCCCGTGGAAGATTTCGTCTGTGCATTTGATATGAAACTCAACTGGGTCACAACTGTGCTGCTTGCCAACTCCTCGATGAATTTCATTGTGTACAGTTTACGAATCCGCCTATTTCGAACAGCATACATAAGAATCATTCGTAGCATGCTACAGTCATTTGTACAGGTTGTGGGAAAATGTCGCAGCAAACGTCCGTTGCACCAAAATACTCCATATCATAAAAGTCCTGGGCAACAAAATATGGATACAGTACCAACTGCTGATGAACCAAGAGTGCCGAATGAAGTGGAAGACGCGAATGAAATGATTCAAATTCAAAGCAACTGATCAGTGAAACAGTCAAGCCATGTTGTGAATTGCTTCTTGCTGGTTCCTTCTCGTGTAGTTCAGCTACGTGCATTCTGAACCTTGTTCTCTATCCATTTGATAAGAAGCCAAATTGAGGCGCAATTTCGCTTAATGTCAACTCGTCGTTATGAATTTCATTGTGTACAGTGTAATGTTCCGTAATTTCGATAATATTGTAAGACATTAATTCAACACTTAACCTAATTTTTTTTTTAAGAAAGAAAAAAGATAAAAATATATTGTTCACGAATAGCGTCTCTGTTTTGTTGGTCTCTTGTCCAACCAGGTCTTCATCTATAAAGTTTTTGTAAATTAGTTATTTTTTGGGGGGGATGGGTATGGTCTAAATAAAAAAAAATGAAATAAAATAAATTTATGTAAACAACGAAAAGACGACCAACAAAAGATTACTACAAATGTTAAACAATTATATTATTTGCCAAAATTTAAAGAGAGGTGCTCTATTACTGTGCAGCAAAAGAAAGCGTTTTTCTTTAATTTTACAAGCTACCGCTCGACTAGTTAATTACCACAACAAGGAAGCAATCAGCTATATACATCCCTTGGACCAAATTCCATGGATAAATATAGACTGCAAGAATGAAACTCGAAATGAAAAACGACAGCGATTCGGGAAGAAACTGTTGTTGTTCATTTCGTTATGTTTACCATCCAGATGGCAATAGGAAACTAAAAGTGAATCGTCAAAGAACAAAAAAAGACCCAAAAATTAAAGAGAAGTTCCTGTTCAATAACATATCGGTTCAAATCGAAGATAGCAAAACGTGTTTTGARTCATTTGTGAATGGTGATACTTTTGAGAGTGTAATTCAGAAAACGACTAAAACTTAATACCAGGTAAGACAACTCTTACATGTTATAAGAATGTTCACTTTCGAAGCATGATGTATAATTACAAGGAAAACATATTTAGCTTACAAAAAATAAATACCTAAAGATACATCAAAACCTCTTAACACATGGTATTTACAGTTTCATAGTATTCCCAAGTCTTCATCAACTCAGAGAACAAATATGCTTCTTTTCAATGACACCTTGGGAATGAATGTTAGCAAAACGACTTCATCGTCAGCGGGTGACCAGTTTGACCTTCCCCTTTCTCATGGAGCATCAATCGTAGCTATTAATTTTCTTCTTTCCATTACTGGAACATTTGGAAACTTCCTGATAATCTTTGCTATTTTAACAACACCGCAGCTTCGACAAAGACCATCCAATTTTCTTCTCTTGAGTCTAGCAGTAACTGATTTGTTAGTGACTACAGTTGCACAGCCACTTCTTGCATCAAATGTTTTTCTGAAAACCAGAGGCAATCCATGTGCCCGTGGAGTCGATATGGCCTTCATGATGTCGGCGACCTTTTCCGCCGGTTGTTCTATAAACCATTTGGCAGTTATAAGCATCGACAGAGCGCTGGCAACGGTTAAGCCCCTTGAACATCACAACATTCTGAAGCATTGGTACAAAGTGATGTTATCTGTCTGTTGGGGATCAGTTGCTATTGCAGTAATCGTATATTTCAGTGTAAAATTCACTAAAGCAGAAAACATTGCCGCTCGTACATTGAGCATTCTTACTGCCGTATACATTACTATAGATTTTCTCATCATGATCGGTTCATACGCAATTATTATCTACAGAATCAAATTCCCTAAGATCCAGCCAAAAATCAGGTCAAGCTCTTCCACGGCGCACGAGAGAGCAATGGAAAAAAGGGTTTCTGGAACTATAGCGATTCTGATTTTTTTATTTGCCGTCACCTGGTTCCCGTATACTGGATACAGAATATCCAATCCTGATACCTCTGCGCATTGTTCGTTTGATCTCACACTTCTATGGATTCGTACACTTTTCTTAGCTAACTCGTCCATGAATTTCATCGTCTACAGTTCAAGAATCCGTCAGTTTCGAACTGCATACTTAAGAATCATTACCAGAATGCTGCAACCATTTAGGAATATTGCGGGAAAATGCTTTAGCGCAAGTTCTGAGCAACAGAATACAACACAGATTACCGTTGTCCCTTCGTCTATAAACACCACGAGTTTATCGAATGAAATGCAAGAGATGAGCGAAATAAAATCAAATGTCAAGCAGCACAGCAACTGAAATGTGATACACTTCAGACAAGYGTAAAAACATTGGTGGTGATTTTATCTTATTTTCTTAAAGAAAAGGAGACCAACAGCAGTTTTTTTTGCAAATTATAAATGACTATAACAAGAGAGAAATGCCAATTTGCCTTATTGGTGTTTTATTAAATTAAAACAAAAATGTAACGAGAACGATTTGAATACAAAATTGCAACTGAAATTGTCAAAACAACTGAAAACGAACGCCCTTAGAGAGCTACTGCGACTTTCAAAGAGTATCCTATACTAAAAATATCTTTATTGTTCAATACAACTTAATCAAGAGTATCCACCTGACAATTTAAGAGTGTCTTATTTTCAAAATACCCCATTGAAATGACCTTATTTTTAGTATCCAATCGAAGGGATCGGAGGTCTTTCGGATAATTCAAAACGATTAAATTCAAATGAAATTAAATTCATTCCGGTGTTTTCCAGCGGAGCTATTTAGAAGTTGACATGTTTTGGGAACCTTTTTATAAACTCTAGTTATAATGTTTAGAATTTAC